TTTTACTCAAATTTCAAATCAGTTATGTTTGGCAAAATAAGCCAGCAGTCTCAAGCGAGTGCAAATTTCTAGCGTCTGGTTATTCCAGTCTACATACGCCGTTTGATTTGGTGCAATGTGTCTAGCCTTGTCCCTTGAGTCTCTTGATACAACTGGGGCTGAAGCGCACTATGGTACACGATTCGTGTACCAATGGTAAAATGTTTATTTTGTCTTAAATATTGGATATCAAAAGCCCATCTTTTCCCGGTAAGATCACAACATGAATGTTGATTTAATTTGACAAATAAATCGTGTTTTCAATGTTGAAGATTTTGGATGATATTGAGTTAGAGACTTAGCTACTTTAAGGCATTTTGTTAGAGATTAATTGTTTCCCTTTGTCTTAAGGCATTTTGTTAGAGATTAATTGTTTCTGTGTCTTAAAGCATTTTGTTAGAGATTAATTGTTTCTCATAGTATTGTCTTGTTAGCCATTTTTTCTGCATTTTCTTTCACTTAATAAAATGTCTTTAAATAAAAGTGAAATGTCATGTCATGACAATATTAATTTGCATGTCAAGGATATTAATTATAACATGTTTTGAATGTTGGATTACATATTTAGAATTTAATTCCATAAATCTGATTTATGACTTTCAATTTCATAAGTTTGTCACTCTTGGGAGTTCTCATTTATTTTTTTATAAATCAAGGATAACAATGTGTTAACGTTTGCACATTGAAAGAGATGGTTGGGTAAAGTTATTACTATTTATTAAAGGGGCTTTATTGAAGATTAGATAAAGAGCTGGCAGTGCTCAGTATAATAGTTAAAAACTGGATAATGTAGAGGGAATATGCTGAAAATTTCAGTCAAATAGCCCCACTCTGAATTGAGATATTAGCCATTGAATTTTAGGCCTAGCCTCGATCATCATTACTAAAGTCGGTACAATAAAAAACATAGTCTTGATTATCCATTTTTGGATTTAATCATCAATGAGCATTGAGCAGCAGATGGGATTCAATTCCAGTGAAAATCCGACCCATAAGATGGCATAGCGATCGAGTTGGTTAAGGTTAAATGGCTTCTGACTTAAATCTAGGTCATACGGAGAGAAGAGAAGTCACCTTACTATACATCAGGGTTATGTATTTGTTTATGTGTTTATTTTGACGTGTTTGTTTATTACCAGCACCACATAAATCTTGTAAAAAAAAAACCTAATGGGACAACTCTGTTAGTTATAAATGAACATTTATTACATGTATTATCTTTCACGGATTTCAAATTAGAGGGAGTCGTGGTGACTCAGTGAGTAAACTCGCTGTCTGGACAAAGTTTCCCTCATAGCACACTGTATGACGTATGCCCTTCTTCATTTGCCCATTTGGAACAGAACAATAGGATGTTAAACCTAATTTCATTTCATTTCTTGAAATTCTAATCTTTTTAGTTTCTAGTAATAATCTTTAGTTTTATGCACTGCTCATACAAATAGTTACCCATGCTTTTCGAATTTGAATATTTGAGGAATGTACATGTATATTTACCAGGTAGACCTAGAAGTTAAATTCTTACATTGACAATACAAATACCACACCTACTAGATCTAAATTAAGGTAATCATGCAGGTACAAAAAATACCTGAAATGAAAGCCAAATTCAACACGTGAAATTCACTCTGCACATCAAATGATAAACCGTTTCGACATGTGTGGCAGTTACAAAGTGTCTAATTCATAATAATCGAATTGTAAATTTTATTCAATTGTTCAAGTGAAGACTAAGCCCCCACACCCTGCACCTTCAGATTTTTCTGTTCAGTGCACTCCATTAATATGTAAAAACATGGTTTAATAACATGTTCAGTACAATTCTATGTGTTTTGAAATAACCAAATTATGAAAGTATTTTGAGGTGACAAGTATTTTGGTAACTTGATATTTTAATCTTAAACTGTGATCTTTATAAATAGATACTAAAGATGTTAGTCTAGAGTTACAGATTAACTAATTCTCTGGATGAGTAATTTTACAGCCAATTTATGCTTATTTAATTTGTCAGTTAACTGTCATTGTGTAATTACCCATGTCGTTTAGTGAAGGTCCATGTACTCAAAATGGTGTAAATGAATTTAATTGACTTGTCTTCAGGAGCAATAAAACTCAATTTGTTATCTTGGTCCTGTAATTACCGTAATCTAGTAAATAAAATTAATTGACTCAACTTCAGGAGCAATAAAACTCAACTCTTGTCTTGGTTCTGTAATTACCGTAATCTGGTAAAAAAAAATATATTGACTCATCTTGAGGAGCAATAAAACTCAACTTGTTATCTTGGTTCTGTAATTACCGTAATCTGGTAAAAAAAAAAAAAAAAAAACAATGCCAAAACTCAATTTTTTTTTATCTTGGTTCTGTAATTACTGTAATCTGGTAAATAAAATAAAATTGACTCATCTTGAGGAGAAATAAAACTCAATTGGTTATCTTTGTTCTGTATTTACTGTAATCTAGTAAATAAATATGGTTTTCTAACTGGCACATACTTATAGATATATTAAAATCCCTTTGTTGACAATACAGGTACTTGTATTGATAACGGTTGGAGTAATAATTTGAAATATTAATATAAAAGCAAAGAGTATAAAGAATATATAGTGCTTTGAAGGTTGAGGCTGCTATACAAAAAGTTTTTTATTTTAACTTTGCCAGCTAGATCAGCAAAAACTCTTAAAAAATGAGCTCTTTGCGCTTTTAATATATGTTGACAGATTTTAATCAAAATTTAGTTGGTCGAGAAAGTTCATCAGGATTGTCCAGTGTAGTTCCTCATTGTCAGTGGTGCAGGATTGAGGGCCTGGCAACGAACAATGTATAGTCGTTTGGATGGTACGAAAAACCAAGGTCCTGTGTACACATTGGCATGCACATAAAGATCCCTTGGCAGTTGGAATTTGATATAAGAGTAGGCCATAGCATCGCTGTTCAGGCAAAATTTCCCTCATAGCTCCCTGTATGGCTGTGTCTGTCTTCATTAGCCCAGTTGGAGCAGAAAAGTAAGACATTTTAATAAATCCTGTTTCATTTCTTGGTTAAATATTAAAAAGCAATTCAAGTACATTTTTAGACAAATTCAGCAGTGAAGAATAAGATATTGTCCAAAAAAAAAAGAACTATTTATATTGCCAACTTTTAAGGTTGTTTGTTAAAAGAATAATTGTTGTATTGTGTAAATCATAGGTAGATATAATGTATACCAGGATTGTCTATTAGTTTACTTATTCTATGTTTCCTATTGACTATCATTGAATCGGTAGGGATCATTTTACTCTGTAATATTGACAGACGAGCTCTTGTCAATATCTATCTATACATACTTATCATAGGTATTTTATCTCTTATACTTACTCAAGGTTTATATAGTCAAAAGTATATGTATATATTGGTGAACACATTTATTTAAAGGGGTGGTTTCACGGTTTTAGCTTTCCAGATTTTAAGTCTTGTTAAGGTTTAGTTTTCATTTCTACCATAGGTCTTTTGAAATAATATAATAGGTCAGTTTTGGAGAATTTCACCTGTCCTTATTTGAGTGAGAGACAGACAGACCATGAAATTTCAGATATATAGTAACATAAAATACAGACCCAGAGTTCCAGAGAAAATCTGTGCTTTCGGACAGCCGACCCTATTTTATGTACAAGTCTTGGATTGAAACCACGACACTTGACTCAATGACAGATCGTTTAATCAAAGCATACGCCTGTATGCTAATCCAGCACACTGATGCAGACATTTTTAACTTACTATTTATAAGTCATAAACATTTTCTCTCATGGTTTTCTTACTGTATACCATATGCAATTTTGGCATTTACTAATACTTTGTTTATCACAAAAAAAGAATGCCTAGCCCTTTAAAAGTATCGCATTCTAGGTCAACTTGATTTGAGCAATGTAACTACTCTTAAATATAAGGTCAAATTCCTTACCTGGACCCATCTCCTTAAGGTATTCAGGCTATTTTTATTATTTTTTTCAATATATTTTCTTTATTAAGTTATATCAGTCTACCATTATAGAGAGGTAATAAAACAGCTGTTTTCAAATAATAATAAAACTTTTTCAATCTTTTCAAGTGGTTTCTATGATTGTGCACTTAGCCTTTCTTAATATACAAGATGACAACCTGTTATATCAAAGCTGGTGTGAATGCACTCTGCATTCAGATAAGTTGATCATTTCATTTGGATCACATCTGTCGGATCATTCATTTGATTTAAAGGCACAACGTCAAAAATATGTACTGTAGTTTATTTTTTCTAGTTTTTGCATTGTAATCCTTAACATCAGATATTAATCAGTCACAGACCATAAATGGTTCTCTTCTGCTAGACCATACACGGTTCTCTTCTCCTAGACCACACATGTGTCTCCTAGACCCTACATGTTTCTCCTAGACCACACATGTGTCTCCTATACCATACATGGTTCTCCTAGACCACACATGTGTCTCCTAGACCATACATGTTTCTCCTAGACCATATATGGTTCTCCTAGACCACACGTGTCTCCTATACCATACATGATTCTCCTAGACCACACATGTGTCTCCTAGACCATACATGGTTTTCCTAGACCATACATGTTTCCCCAAACCCATACATTTGTCTCCCAGACCATACATGGATCTCCTAGACCACACATGTCTCCCAAACCATACATTTGTCTCCTAGACCATACATGGTTTTCCTAGGCCATACATGTTTCCCCAAACCCATACATTTGTCTCCCAGACCATACATGGATCTCCTAGACCACACATGTCTCCCAAACCATACATTTGTCTCTCATTCCATACATGGTTCTCCCACACTGTACATGTGTCTACATCATCCTACCATTCCACAAAAAAACATCTTTATCATCTGTCATGGCTTTCTATTTATTTTAATCAAAAAGATGTTAATTAATTAAAATATTTGTGTAATAAGGAATATATTTTTTTTCTAGGATTATCTGGTTTTGACTCACCTGATGGTAAAAAGGTATGTACTTCTTCTCTTTCTTCTTCTCAATTCCATAATTTCTGAATTGTTTCTCAGGGCTGTCTGATTTTAATATCAATATCAGATGATAATAAAATTCTATAGTATATAAGCTGAAAAGAAGTACATTCAAGCATCCAGCTATCTGACTCCCATACAAAAATCAATTTGATGCTTATTGAAATAGTGTATATAAAAAAAAAATAAAACTCACAGCATGCTTTTGATATATTTTGAATTCTCAAATTTTTACTGTTATTTTTCATCATGCACAGAAACCTTAAACCTTTTTTTATTTATGGTATGGTATCATGTGTCAATACCACTATGTCAGTAAGGGGTACATATAATTTCTGTATTGGCATAAGAAATAAAATCAATATACAACAACCTATCATTAAGTATCAACAAAAAAACTGTGTTGGGGGCTATATATTTATATAGTACTTATCAGGTTCTAAGAGTGCACTAATCTGTAGTTTAAAGATTTTTTAGAGGGTAGCAATCTTTGAAAATGGAGTGGGATCAAATATAATGCTAGTTTTACAGCATATAAATTTTCTGATGGGTGCCAAAACAATTTTGGTGAATTTGGTTGAGTTGGAACGATGATTCAATTACATCCTTTAGTCAAAACTACTATACAAGGTTAGAACTAATGTAAATTTCTGATAAACTTTAATAGTTCTGTTTGTATTTTCAGTCAACGCCTGGTAAAAATGGAAATCAGAAAACTTGGTCATCATTACCTAGAAATGATTTCTCCTCACCATTTACTAGACAAGGTTCATGTGGATCCCTGGATGATAACTATCTCCATACTGTAAGTAGTACTGGGATAATTGTGGTTTATTCTTTGAACGGCATTTAGTAATTTGGACATAATAAAATAAAAAGTGTGTTATTTGATTATTTTGGTTTAATAAGATTTATTTGTGGTTATTTTGGGTTTATATCAGCACTGTTAATATGTTTAGTCCTTAATAATGGTTCTACGGTAAAAACAGACTTGATAAAACAAAATGGATGCTTGAAAGGAGGAAGAGGGACATGTGCCTTTTTTCTGGCTTCAAATTTTATGAAAATTATTATTTAGACATTTATTAATGTGACAAGCTCATAATCATTGGATGGCTTGGGTATCTATGCTAAGCCAAAATTTCCGAAAATGCACGACATCCCTCACTGAGACTGCTGATAAAAGTAATTTATTAAAAGTAATACAGATGTAATAAAAATTTAAATGCATCCTCTGTCTGGAACACGATAAAGGTAGCCATCCATGATTTAGCTCAGAATAAAGTAATTTGACAGTACTTTTGAATATATTCATTTTTCATTATCTATTTTTGAATCATCATTATTGCAACGATCATTATTGCAACGACGGCCAGCTCTTTCTTGAAATCTCGCATGAATCCTCTTTAATTCTTTTTCGATTCCATCAGGTTTGTTCAGTTTATAAAAGAACCATATATTGAGGACATTACTTCATATTTTCAACAACCCAGTTAACTGAGCACTATCTAATATTATTTGCATGATACAATATTTATAATGCTATTTTTAATATTTCTGATTATTTATGCCTGAATTGTTAAACAACAGCTTTCATTTTATTTCTTCTTTTTTATATTGGTTAATAATTTATTTAATCTCTAGCAGGATTTAAATTCTGATACTGACAACATATGATGGATCATTTATATTTTGACATCAACTTTAAAAAAATTATTTAGAATCAAAATTGGGAGCAATTTTGTCAATTAGTTTTTTCTTTCTAAAACTCTGTAACACCTGATGTCTAACCCTGATGTTCTCTAATCAGCTAATCAGACAGATTCTGAAGTTTAGCTCAAACTTGATTAAACATTATTGATTTTGGTTAAAACATATGCTACATGCCTTAATTTCTGTCCAATCATTGACAGTGTTTATCATAGAACAGATGTGGGTTGAATGTAGGAAAAGGTAAATTTCAGAATCGTCATCTAAAATTATTGCCTTTAAATGTCAAAATGAGTGATAAGTTAATGATTTCAAGTATCAGAATCAAAAAAGTCCATGACAAAATTATTTATTTATTATTTATTTATTATATTCTACTGGTCTTTCAGGATGATCATATTCATAAATCGGTATTTGTATATTTATTCTCTCATAAGCTTGTAGATAGGCTGGTAATTCTCTCGCTGTAATTAGATATTGAGAATAATTTTTGGAGATATTCCTTTGAAAATACTAACAAATCAGAGGGGAAAATATCCTGCATCATTATCATGATCACTTTCATCACCATCATCCCTCTAACACAAACTAAATATAAATATGGTATTAAAATGGATCTAGAGTTGCTGGTAGCATTAACAATATAAGCTTCATGCATTTTGCTTTCTAATCAATTTTTTTTCTTTTTTTTGGTTATAAAAAGAATAGGTTGCAGTTCTTTTGTCAAGAAATTAGATATCTCTTATTGAATTATAACCCACATATGATTGTTACAAAAGACAAAAAATACATCTCTTGTACAGAGTAATGTATACTGTTCTTCTTGCAGATTCTATAGACTATAATTTGTATATTTCTAACCCAAAATAACCTGGATGGGTAATTTGAGCATGCAGAATTTAATAGGTTATACAGTGGTGGATTTAGTGAATCCCTACTTTGGGATTGGTTTCAAACAACAGGACATACCAGTTATTTTAAAAGAGGATGTAGATAAAAATATTTTAGACAGGCAATTGCGACTTAAATGACCTAAACCTCTAGCTCAATATAAACCATAATGTTGATCGACATTAAAAAAATGAATTAGCCACAGTAATACAGGACATTACGTCCTATGCAGATCAGTGCTCCTTGGGTTTTACATCAAGTTGATGTATGGGAAACTTCACTGCAAACATATTTTCAGAAGTTCAAAGAAAGTAAACAGTTCTTATACACATGCAGTCTCGAAAGATATACAGGATGAAAATTCTGCTGCTAGAGCAGAAATCTTCCCTCATGGCCTCTATCTGTAGAAAACCAAAGTAGTGTGACCTTAATTTTGTAATGTTAATTTGAGAGAGGGTTGGAGGGGGGGGGGAGAGAAATGGGGTATGATCAACACAGACTGGGTCATTTCAGGACTAACATGGTACAATTTATTTCAATAATTGGCTTGCATGGAAGGGTCTTTGACAGTAGGAGGAAGCCAGATGACTTGGAGAAAAGCCATTAGGTTAGGCAGGCAACCCTACTCCTTGTCACGTACAGTGGTGGGATTGAAACCTTGCCACTTGACTAAATTGCAGACCTTATAATCTAAAATGCATGCAAAGGTCACTAAGACCTAGCAGAAAATATAACTTCAGCCTCTTCTTTTCGATTCTAGACCAAAATGACCATGCAAAAGGGGAAAGAGAAAGATATATTAATAGAAGAAACTTTATTCTTGTGTCCTGTGTCACATTGGATGTGTCATGAGAGCTACCACCCTTACATCATATTTGATGTGTCATGAGAGCTACCACCCTTACATCACATTTCATGTCATGAGAGCTACCTCCTTTACATCACATTTGATGTGTCATGAGAGCTACCACCCTTACATCACATTTGATGTGTCATAATATCTACCACCCTAACATCACATTTGATGTGTCATGAGAGCTACCTCCTTTACATCACATTTAATGTGTCATGAGAGCTACAACCCTTACATCACATTGGATGTGTCATGAGAGTTACCTCCCTTACATAACATTTGATGTGTCATGAGAGCTACCACCCTTACATCACATTTGATGTGACATAAGAGCTACCACCCTTACATAACATTTGATGTGCCATGAGAGTTTCCACCCTTACATCACATTTGATGTGTCCTGAGAGAGCTACGTCCTTTACCTCACATTTGATGTATGCCTATCATAGATCGATCAATTCAATATTTAATCTTTACTCAGTTCAATTAGATCTGCCGCCATATTAAATTTATGTATTAGAAATACCGGTACATGTCTTCATTATGCAGTTTCATTAGATAATATGAAACTAGATTAGATCGAAGGAAAACGACAAAAATATTTCAATAACCTTTAATGACATTTTCTTAACATAGATTCCTATATATTTCGTCTATTATAAATTTAGATGTATAGACATTTTTATAGATATTTTAAACCCTGAGATAGTCAATGAGATACGCAATGAATAAAGAAAGTAAATAGAATATATGTAAGCTAACATTTAAGAATAACAATGTGAACATACATGTGATTTATAAAAGTCTACATATAGATCGACATTAGATGTGTTCCCATTGAACTGGATTCAAATATAGTTTTGTTAATGGGTGTATTGACTCTATTCCTTCGAACCTTAAAATAGACGAAAATGAATATATATTACATATTCATGTAATATGAATATAAAGTGATTTACATGTATATTCAATTTTTAACACGTTTATTGTAATTTATAATCAATTATGTTCGGTGAAATACAAAAGACATGTTTACATAATGGTGTATATAATGTTATATATATCTAGGGATGTATAATATGCATTAAAATTAATTATGTCACACTTGATTTATTCAGGCAGTTGTATGATATTGTAGATTTTAAAAATTAATGAAAAAAAATTGAATTCTATAGTTATTATCTTTCAATGCTCTGATATAATGTAGTATTGGGGACTAAGAATACTGCTACCACCAAGTTTAAATATAATACAACGGCAAAATAAAATTGGAAATTGAATTAAGAAATATGAGGTCCTGCTGAATTTGTTTGCCACTGCCTTGTGAAATTCTCTCTTATATTGACCATGTATATAAGCAATGTAAAAAACGGAGACTCCTTTCACAAAGCATATGCCTTTCAAACAGAATATCCTGGGTTCAAATCCTAGTGTGGGTCAAGAAAAATATTCAGGACTTTAAAAATCCAGTTCCCTCTTCACAGTGGGATAGTGCATGTGAGGTGGTCAAGTATTAAAGTATATTGCCTTGTCGTTTGGATGGGACAGATAACAGAGTTTCACCCATGGCACCATTGGCATACACTTAAAAGAAGTAATCCGTGCTCCCTTCAAATTGTACACACGACCATAGAAATAAAAATTACAACATGTTAGTCTAAAAATGATCGAAGTATTGTATGACAAGACTTTAAACCCAATTGTATTATAAAGCATGTTTAACAGTTATGACTATACTAATAATATCTTGAATTCACTGCAACATTAACACTTTGTACATTGAGTAACATGAAATTAATGAGACTTATGTCTGCATCCACAATTCTGACAAATATAATACATGTGTAACAAAGTCATTTTTTACAGTTTTAAAACATCCTATAACTTGGGAGTTGACAAAATGTTTAACCCTTTTTATTTTTATCATTACATATTATTTCCCGGTATTTTTCAGGAACCTGAAGTGATGAGCGTTTGGTTACAGAGTCAAGATTTCATTGGTTTAGGTTTTAATATTTCTGGTAATATGAGGGATGGAATTTTCGTCAGCCATGTTCACAACCGTGGACCTGCTATTGAATCTAATAAAGTTAAAGTTGGTAAGCACCAGTACATTAAAAACAGATTCATAAATGTATTTATCGGAGACCAACAGCCCCAAATCAATCTGTTTCTCAGAGTATTACGAAAGTCTTCTAATATCTCTGTAAAAGATGACTGCCTTCAACACTTGATGTCATATCACACAGCATCAATCATTGGCTCAATGGCGCGTGCATAAGACGTGACTGATTTGAGCAGAATGGTGCCTTTTACTCATTTTAATACCCATCTACACTAAAATAGGAAATAATTTTTACCTATACTATAGATAGTATACTTCAAACGTCTTTATTTATTTTTCTAATACTTAAAAAAAATGTTTTAGAATTTAATTTATTGGAGGAAAAAAGTTAATATTTTGACTCATTAAGTCGCATCGATGTCATCCTTATCAGTGATTGTCGCGGCCTAGCGAATATTCACTGCTGATCAGTGTGCCCCCAAAGCAAGTACTCTGGACAACAAAATAAAATTTTTTCAGGCAGCATTACTATTGACTGTAGGGCTGTCTGTATCTAGAACTTTAGACAAAGATTTGGAACCCTCAAATCACAAAAGGTCCCCATTCACTACTGATAATGTTAGTTTGTTAATATCTAATGTTGTAAAGTGAATGCTGTATTATCCTAAGAGTTATATGTCATTTTCATAAGCATTAGTAGGCTCTGTGCATTTAAAAAAACTGATTTCCAAATTGTGATGGAGGCAACAGTATTAATCGGTTAAGGAACTGCATCAACTTGAATTCACCTGGGTATCAATCGTGGTGTGGGTTGAGAATAACCTCAGGATTTTTCAAGCCTGGATCCTAGTCAAGATATGTTCTCAAATAGAGTATTGTTTTAAAGTTTGAGAAATCCGCAAAATTTGATGATCAAACCCTGATAAAACATCATAATGTTTCTCTTTGCAGGTGACAAGATCTTGAATGTAACCATATCGTTTGAGAATATCGTTTACGAAGACGCACTTACGATTTTAAGCTATGCTTCACCATATCCCGTGAATGTTATGCTACAGAAGGAAAAGCAGCTTGTCAATGAAAAAAGATTGACTGAATCAAATAATGCTTTAAGCCATCCCTTATATAGAAGTCAGTCTCTTGATGCCTTGAATCGTGCTGGCCTTGATGCTTTGAATCGTTCACGAAAGGATTCTTTCAAACCCAAAAGAACATATAGTGAAATGAAACCAGAGACAAGGAAGGATAACTCAGTGAGAAAGCAACTTTCAGGAATGGTGCCAGAAATGTTTGAAAATGGTGGTGGAGATAATCGTGGATCAACACATGCTAAGATCACATCCGATATTTTGGTACATAAAGCTGATGATGCTGGATTCGTTAACATTGATTTATCTAGCGGTGGGGACACTAAAAATGGGTTAGATGTGAGTCATGCATCTGGTCGAGTAGATGACTATGCTAAAGATTTAACAGGAAAGGCTAAAGATAAGACCAGTGCTTTGGCTGATGATATGTCTGGGAAAGTTTCCAATGAAGTTGATGTATTTAGCAAAACTGCATCTGATAATTTGGCCACTCAGGTTGATGATCACCAGATGACACTAGAGGTTGATTCAACTGTGCAAGGTGTTAAAGATCGCAAAAGTAGCACAGCTGTCGAATTTGCTAGTTTAATGGATAAAATGTTGGACATGAATCAGTCCTCGGATGAACCATTTGAAACCATGGAAGTTAAAAATATAAGCAATGGTCCAGTAGCTGAAGACTCCTTTTCTGCATCTTTGTCATCCGAAAATCAATTCAGTCCACCCACCAAACCTACAAGGAAGAAAAAACGACCTAGTACAGCTAGTAATTCATCAGATGAACTAAGCCTTAGTCAGTCAGATATAAAACTAGAGGATGTGGGACTACTCACTTCAAGAAAGCCTGTAGTGGAAGAGGTAATGACAATTGTCAAGGTAAAGGATGTGTCTGCTGCTCCTAGATCTTATGCTGATTGTGAAGCCATTGAAGAAGAATCAATGATTGCAGAAAAGTTGATCAAGGGGGATGTTAGCAGTCTAGCCGATAAATTAGAGTTAACAGAAAAAGAAAAAGATTCAGAAAAAGAAGAATTACCTTCCCCAACCCTCCTTAGAAAAATTTTACTTGACGGCATAGATAACTACCAAATCAAGAAAAAACCTGAACCTGAAGGGGATCCAGTTGAAGAAGAAATGATTCAGGCAGTACGAGTTAGTCGCGAGGATTGTGCTCCACCCTTGCCTAAAGCCCCAAATTCAAATCAGGAAGTAAAATCCAGTAAAAAGGTCGGTGTTAATAACAATCTTCATGATATTGATGATGAACTCATCGATGAAATCATTGCCATGAATTCTAGGCCAATTGAACAAGCTGGACTTCCAGGTAGAAACACAAAAGAAAATATGGGTGGAGTCTCCTACGATATTCAGGTGGCTGACCTGGATAAGATTGAAAATGAGCTACGTTCGGAAATGGGTAAAGATGCACCAAAATCACCTACAGGGGGAAAAGCTTTTGAGATAAGGGAGGATCTTAATGGTAAAATGGTCAATCTGGAAATCAATAAAAGCTATGTTACACGGACGGCCTCCGAAGCTGCAATATCTAAAAACAACGATCAGGAGGACATTCATATTTTACGGGCTGGGTCTTTAAAAGATGACAAACATCATATTGAAAATGATTTCGATTGGTCAGGCAAGCGTCTGATACGTTCTGGATCATTTTCTGAAATACCTCAGGACAATTCAGTGAAAGACTGGACTGATCAAAACAAAGTAAGCAGTGAGGACATTACTGTCGTGATCCCAGATAACCACAAAATGGGTGTATTAGCAACCGAAGAGGATATCAAGGCCAAAGCAGAAGTGTTTATCAAAGAAAGTTTAGATTTGACGAATATGTCTGATATATCAAGTTCGCAGTCACCTTCATCCACTCGTAGTGTTTCACCTTATACACCTAACGGACCTCCTGAATTATCTCCCCTTGCACTTAAAAAAGCTTTAGACTTTGCTTCCTCTGAGAGTTACAGTTCATCAAGTCGTACGGGGAGTTATTCGTTTAATTTGAATAAAGACGATGATGATGATGATGATGATGCTGAGTGTTAACTGTGTGTGAAAAAGTGTTTTGTTTTTGACAAGTGATTACCTAATAATTAGATAAGGCAGCAATGAAAATGCTTCTTGAATAAAACTTCTTAAAATCACTAGTGCATTAATGGGAGATAACTACTTACTCATAAAGTAGGATAAAGACCGCATCATTTGAAGACTTGCGGTGTGTTATCAAAGCAATAATAAGATTTGTTTGGTTAGACAAGAGAATGGGCAGATAAGAGAAAAGTTCAGATATTAGGATTAAACATCAAGATATGGGATGCAAAGTTCGCTAGGTGTCTCTGTGTAACTGTGTCTGCTCTTGTAGAACCCGTGCTAGTTGACACGGGTGTGCTGACCTAAATAAAACAAAGCTAACTGTAGAAAAAGAAAACATTTCTGGTAATGTTTAATAAGAGATAGTGAATTGAGGGTTAAGTAATTAAACTTTGCTTTATATGAACTAGCTATTTAATGCCATGAATATGACCACAGGTACTTACATTGGACATCTCGACTAAAATATAGAGAATTCTCTCCAATGAACATTAAGTTAACTCTAAACCAATGATAGTTACTTTGATGATACAGGTGTGTGAAAGACAAAATACAGTCTAGCAGGACGATAAAATAACAATGGTCATGGTGCATTATCCGGTGACCATCTGTTATTTTTAACCCTGCTAATTATGATACCCATCATTCTGTTGAATATTGTGGAGGAAATACGATTAATAAATGATTAGTATATATATATGGTATACATGTAATATGTTAAATTTGTTTTATTTTAATATAGCTATTTGTAAATATAAAAGATGAGATTATTCGATTGACACGATAAAAATATAAGATTATTCGGGTCAGATTATATTATATTATAGCTACCATCTGAGAGTATGTAGCCTTAGAGGTATATATTAAGGTAGGTAACTCTGGATTGAGCAAACAACAAAAAGCCAGGCCTTCACATTGGTGAATTCCAAAAGAGATAAGTAGAGCTAAGGAAAACTCCTCTTGTATCAGAATTTCTCGAATAAAAAAAGCACACTTAATTAGAGGGCATTTCTAGTTTAAAGTTCTATTGTTGATATCAATTCCTTCTCCTTCTGATGAAATTTAAAATGAATAAGCTTAAGTGAAAATCATCAGGGGGGGGGGGGGAGTATGGCCGAATGGTAAGTGTGTGCGCGTTGTATCATAAGGTCTGTCATTGAGTCAACTGACATGGTTTGGATTCCCTGTCTGTACATGACAAGGAGTAGGGTTTTCTGCGGCTTTCTCCCACTGCTAAAGACCCCTATGCGCAAGCGAATTATTGAAATAAAATTGAACCATATGTTAGTCCTGAAATGACCTGGTTTGTGTCGATTGGACGTTAAATTCCATCTCTCTCTCAAGTGAAAATCGTTGAAGTATGTTCTTTTGATTGTATTTGTGGATTTACACAGATCTTTTCATGTTTCAGGTGAGCTATTTAAAAGCTCACTAGGAATTGAACCTTGGTGGCTTTTCATGATTTATCTCCAATGTGAAGGCCTGAAAAGCCATTTGCATGCATGTTGAATATAATCTGCCTTCTAAGGCCTTTATTGGGTAAATGCATCGAAATGCACTTTATTGAGCAAAGAAATATACATACATGTATTAAAGTCTATTATAACCTATGTTTAGTTTCTTGGATACAGAGGTCAGTTCTAATATTAGATTTATGTAAACAAAAAGGATGATTAATTGTACAGATGTTAATATGTATATATAATATAGATATAATATAGTCATGTTATCTTCTTAAATCAAAATATAATAGATATGTGCTAATGGGTCCCACCCTATTCCCTATTTAGAAACTTTAGTTGATGAGATAGCAATGTGTCTCTTCAGTTGTATGAAGGCTTGGATTCCTGTTAGGGCACCTTCCTATACATCTTATATACCGGTATTTATATTCTGAAAATAACAATGGAATTATTACTCCAAAATCCCTCCCGATGATCAACCCCTGGCAATAAAAGTTATAAATCTGGTAAAATGAGACACAGTTTCATATTTCCGTTTTATCTTGAGTCTTAACTCGGATTTGTGAGTAAGTGACTGGTTCACTAACCATGATGTGCTGGGATCGATCCTGCATAGGTCGAGAAAGTTCCCCAGGAATTTCCAGCATGGCTTCCCTTTGTCAGTGTTGCAAGGCAGAGGGCCTGACAGAGAACAGGTTCTAGTTGTTCAGTTGGGACAAAAAAAATCGAGGTCCTGTGTACACAGATGATATGTATTTATCATTAATTTGATTTGACAATTAATAGATCTATTCTACATACATAATAAGATTCTCAGCATAACCCACACACAAGTAAGAATCTAGATTTGTATACATTCCTTTTACACAATTGTTAACATTTTTGTTATACATGATTTTTACATGTGAGTAAATTATGTGCAATGTATTTTGTTTATTTGTTAACTAATGATGGGGAACTTCACCTATAGCATAAGTCCATAATTAATAAAGGTGATGAAGGGATTACAAAGTTATCTCCCCTACTTTTCCCCTAATAATAAACATAGGATTTCCTTTCAGATATACAAAAAATAAACAAAGAAAAATTAAAATATTTTGAAATATATTTTAAATATATCCAAATATTTCTTCCAATGGCTGAATGGTTTGGTTGAGTGGACAGGAAATTTGATTTTAACAGAGTTAAATCTGTGACACTGTGTCACATATTTACCATGGCCAAAATATATTTATTTTGTAAGGGTTGGTTTAGTATCCAGTATAGCATCCTAAAATCATGCAAGTTTCCCTGCAACTTTTACATTCCTTTGATCCCTGACTACCATATATGTGGGCTGATAATTTATTTAGTTAAAATATCAAAATAAATAGTATAGTACTAAGGTTTTCTGGCATCATCAAAATATAATTTCCAAAACAGTATCATTTCCAAGATAATTTTTAGTTTTTATATATATATATATAAGGCATTATTTATGTACTCTGTTTCTTTTATTATAACCAAAAATATACATATCTCATTATTATTATTAATAATATTATAGTTTAGAACAATGTTTAGATATTAGTTTTGGGTCAGCAGGAAGTTTTAATTTTCAAAGTTATTTGGGCGATGTTTTGAAAAGTTTTCTCCCACCATTTTCAAGCAAGTACAGTAACACTTGCCGCCCAAACAAATTAGTAATTGTTCTTCCATAAGTATGTGTTATCGTTTATATTTTTAGACAATTGTCTGGATTAATAAATTCGGTATTAATGAAGAAAAGCTATCTATGTCTAAAACCAAACTCTGCTGACCAAAAACAAAAACTTGATTTACTGCATCTTTTATGTATTGTTCTGTGTTAGGAATGGAACCCGAAATTTCTGATCATTGAAGTATGAATTCACTAAAATGGATGAAGATAATTATTTTCGGGCTCTCACTTTAGTGATATTTGTCGGTCATTGACTGTCAGGGACTGAAATTGATAAATTTTTAAATTGGGAGTCCCAATTTGGCACAATACTGGAAATTGTCATATATCAAAGATTAACAAAAAATGTGAAAAATTGGTGCGCTGGGAAATTTATTGTCTTTGTCCACCAAATAAACTAGAAAATGAACATACTTCCTTAAAAATAGTCAGAAATTTCAGGTCTTAATGTTGTTAGTAAATGTTTTTTAATAAGTCTTATTTTATATTGTAAATAAATACAGCAATATATACTCTCTCTATATATATTATATATATAATAACTATTTTTATATCACAGACCTTTATATACTTATATAATATACAAAAATTATTATTAAATAAAGTAAAACATTTAATTAATATTACAGTATTAACATTTCTGTTGTTTCATTTGAAAGATGATTATATAAACAGGTTTAAATTTATTTGTAAACTGTTTTGCAACAGCTCTCCTGTATGGGGTGGGGGAATTCTCTTGGTGTGCATGAGTAAGAAATGGATCCTGCCAGGTGTGACAATTCTCTTCAATGAGGGAAATTCTCTTGGTGTGCATGAGTAACAAGCTGATCCTGACAGGTGTGACAATTATTCTCCTCAATGGCGGAAATTCTCTTGGTGTGCATGAGTAACGTCCTACTGTTCTGCTCGGACTGGGCTAATGAAGACGGGCATATGCCATACAGTGTGCTATGAGGAAATTTTGCCCCCGGACAGCGGCGCTATGGCCTACTTTCATATCGAATTTCAATTGTTTAGGGTTCTTTTACGTGCACGCCTATGTGTACACAGGACCTCCGTTTTTCATCCCACACAAACGTCTATATATTGTCCCTTACCAGGCCCTCTGCCCTGCACAGCTGACAAGGAGGAACCATGCCCGAAAATCCCTATCGAACACAGGACCTCCAGGTTAGCGAGCCAATGTCGCATTCACTAAGCCACCGTAGCTGTCAATGCATGAATAACAAGTTGATCCTGCCAGGTGCGACAATACTACACAATGGGGGACACTGATCCTATCTGGATATACACCAAAAATTACAGCATATACCCTTTAACTGCAGCTGTTTCCCCTAGATCAACTTGTAATATACCTAGTACATGTACTTTAATATTGTTCTGATTGGCTATAATTGGGCTTGCCATTACCCAATCTGAGTCAAGTTTACAATTTCATGTACATTACTACACAGTACCCCAAGAAATCAAGCAAGTGGCTGATGATGCTTTCCATGAGATTTAAACTAAAAACACAAGTATACTTTTATTTTAGTTTAATATCTTCTGACAATACTGAATATATAATATAATAACAGATATAACAGACACACATATATTTATCACACACACACAACCAAATATATTATATTTCATTTAAGGCCGGATAACACTGATACATGTATCAAAGAAAACCAAAACAAATAGAAGACATTAAATTAAAGGAACTAAATCTCTTAGATTTTATCAAGACAAGATAAAATCTCAGGTTTATTATTTTAATAGTTATCGGACAATCTCTGTATAACAAAATTTTTGTTCAAATAGTTTAAGCAAAGTCGGTTTGTTTACCTTTAAAATTTTACTTTCGTTTTTGGGTTTATTGAAAACAAATTCAGATGCATGTATATTTCAACATTCCACTCAATATCTCGGACATCTGATAGTCTAGAGAGTTATAGGCTTGTCATGTGAATAAATATCTAGATAATAATTTATATGTAACATTTGTAACCAGATTTTGCTCTCACATAACTGCTTTTTAATTACAGCTCTATATATATCACAACCAAACATTGTATAATACTAGTATATGTTTTATTTTGGGATGGATAAAACATAAAATATAAAACAATAAATAAAAATAAATAAAGTATATTCACTGTAAAGATTCTATTCACTGACAAAAAATCAACAGAAATTGGACGGTAAAATCTCAATGCTCCATAGCTGTATTAATATTTTTGGCAAGAATGACCATACAGTCAATGGTTGTTATAAAACTAGGATTTAATAAATCTGATATTAAGTACCCAGTTTATTTTTCTAGCTTAATTTCACATCCTATGAAATTAAATCAAATCATATAATCTCAATAATATAAATTGTTCCCATCTTCACTACAACGAATAATAGACTGGAAAAAATAGAATAAAATTTGTATACTGTCAAAGATCAGAGAACGGTAAGACAGTCCATTACCATATATTATAGACAAAAATGGTGATTTATTTGTCTAGACTCACATTCATTGTAAAACAGACAGAGATAATTTCTTCTGGAGTAAAATTAACACTACACCTTTTAATAATAACACTAAGATTTAATAATAAAAGCAAATCTTTCGACCTTGGATCAATTTCCAGAAATGACGTCGTATGAAACCTGGATGTAACGATTTTAGAGGCACGTGATATAATGTCTGGCACCATTCAACCACTACCTGACAATTTGGAATTTGGTATTAAAAATATCAATAAAACAAAGAAAAAAGACAAATCTGTGGAGTACATAATTGTATGGCGGCAGAAGGGCTGTGTCCGACAAAGCCTGAAATTTTGTCTAACATTAGGTGCCTTATTTCCAAGTGTGGTCATAAATATTCCTTCTTCAGGTAGTCAATAGTTAACCAAGTTCCAGAAACTACAAATCTTTTCTATAGCTAATTCTATCTCATTTAATATATTCATCTATAGATAAATTTCCAACGGGTTAGATATTTCTTTCCAATTCTAACTTCTAAGGGTGATGATATTCCGCGATCGCATTAAAAAAGCAGAATCTGACATTTGAAAACAAATGTACAATCTGAAATAGAAATTCGCTGAAAAGACAATATCTGTCAAAAACCTATACATATGATCATAAAATACACTTTCTACTGAGGATTTAATTCTACAAATTGCCCCCACTCTCCCCACAAAACATAGATTCTTGATAAGTAAAAAATTATGATATCACTCTCCTCAATGCCAGATTTACGTTTTTTGAATTGAACCTGTCACCTCATTCTGATCAGTAACATATTTATAGATCATGGTCAAATTAGGTTGAACATGGCACACTACACTGAGAGATAAATTAAATATGTCACTGCTCAGAAGCTGAAACAAGCCTTTTATTATAAAACTTGTACATGTTTCAGTGTCATGTTCAATATTTATATGTAGTTTGTATTGTACAATGGGCTATGATTATACTATAGAGAATGGAAAAAATAGAAAGTTTCATCTAAGAATTCCTATTTTATGAAATGAATAATCATCACCACTATTTTATGAAATGAATAATTATCACCACTATTTTATGAAATGAATAATTATCACCACTATTTTATGAAATGAATAATCATCACCACTAAACCTTTAAAATAACAAGCTTTAACAATGATTAAATGTAAATGCAATATGGTCATGAATTATTGGACATGCCTCTTAAATCACAGCATATAATATAAGAAATCATTTTTTGATGTTCTCAGTCTAATCACAGAAATATATATTACACATAATCGAGTCCACTGATAAATTATTTCCACTATTTAAATGTCTTACAGGAGAAAATCTTAGTAACAACTGTTCACAATGTCACAGTTAATTAATTTAAACAGAATATCCTTAGTAAAAAATCACAGATATTAAGTGGAATTCGGTAGTGCAAAATCTCAGTTACAACTGTTCATAATGTCACAGTTAATCAATTTAGACAGAACATCCTTAGTAAAAATCACAGATATTAAGTTGAATTTTTATTATCCTTCTTTACGAATGATACACTGATATGGTGTCTGTAATATCTTTACGGCAAATCGGACACCCATCTCGACGATTAAATAACATCTTGGCACACTGACTACACGTCACCATATGATTACATGGTCTCAATACACAGTCTCTTATACGATCCATACAGATAGCACAATCACGATCCATATCACTAGGTACAATACCTGAAGATAAATACACAATGGTTTTATATTTTTAGCCATATAAATATAATTACTCCCATCATCAAGAGTTTTCAATGGAATTGGGTTTACCATCTTGTCAATACAATACTTTGGTGATTTTGAGACTAACATGGCAATTTTCATTTTGTTGGTTATGTATACAATGTGAGGGGAAGAATTCGGCTCGGACAGCAGCGTTTCCACCTCATTTTCGTCAAATTTGAAATGAAATAGGGCCACCATATGGCTAGACCACTTTGATTTGGGCCAATTTCTTTGATTTTATTTGTTGATCTATTATGTGGATTAAGAACCTGTCTTCATTAAAAACTTCATGTCTATACAAAAACCAATAGTTCTGTATTATCCCATAGTCAAAACAAAAATTTGATTGTAAAGAGTTGCCCCATTCGAAATCGAAAAAGGGGGTTTGATTGCCGAATTGGTAGCACATGCGCGCTGTATCATAAGGTGTCATTGACTCAACTGGTGTGGTTTCATTTCACCGGATGTATGTGACAAGGACTAGGGTCGCCTGTCCGACCTCGTGGGTTTTCTCCAGGTCCTCCAGTTTTCTCCCACTGCTAAAGATCACTACGCGCAAGCGAATTATTGAAATAAAATTGAACCATATTTTAATCCCGAAATGATCTAGCTTGTGTCAAGTAGATGTTAAACAACATTTCTCTCACTCTCTTGTAATCGAAATAACACTTCAGATTATAACCAAATTCAATACCAATCATACTTTATTTTAACCGAAATCAAAGAGATTTAGATTCTTTAAGCTACTGTAAATATTAATTTCCCTACTACCATGTTAACCATGTTATTTTATTAGTGTATATAGAAATAAAGATAAACTTACTGTCTTCATCATCTTGTTTAGGTTTAATATTACCACTATGTGATAGAAGAGGAAGTAAAACACATTGATGACCACTATTATTCATTTCTTTAATCTGAGCTATACGATCTAAAAATAATAACCAGATAATCTATCATATATACATACACTTAATGACAACAAATAGATATCTTGTAAATACTATTTATTTGGCTAATTTGAAAAATTAGATTTACGTTTTCGTTACATAAAGGGAGATAACTACAGTTAGTATCACCCAAAACCCAAGTTTTCTTTGACTTACTCTTTTTACGTTCTTCTCTCTGTTCCTCTGTTAAGATGAGTGGATGAATTCCAGATCGAAAAAATAATGTCTTTCCCATCTTCTCCAAAAATTTACGGGCTAAAATTTAAATCAATCATTTTTAGTTAGTAGTTCAAGAACAAACAAATTTACCTTCCTAATTAAAGATGCATTATGTAAGATTTAGATAAAGAGCTGGTTTATTCTTGCTATAATAGTTCAAAAATAGATAATGCAAAATGAATATATCGAAAATTTTATTCAAATTTATTTATTCTGAACAAAGATATTAGCCTTTGAAGGATTGACAAGATGTGTGCACTGGTTGTTCGAGACTGAGCCTCGCTTCACCATTTTTACTGTAAATCATTAAACGGCTGAACTGTTCTAATCTGCTTAAAATCGGACCCATCTGATGGCATTGAATTGATTATGGTCTTGTCATGTTAATAAATGTCTAATTAATAGTTTATATAACATTTAAGGGCCTAAAGAAGGACCTGCAATAGGCAGATTTAGCTCTTGCTGCATAATGTATGTTTAACCACAATGAATGTATCTATGCTAGCTCTGGATTTATGCAGGACTCGACTGATGTTAACAAAAAGTAGGAAATGAAATGTTCTGCTCCGACTGGGCTAATGAAGACAGGCATAAGCCATAAAGTGTGCAATGAGGGAAATTTTGCCTGAGCAGCAGCACTATGGCCTACTCATACATCAAATTCCAACTGCCAAGGGATCTTCTACGTGCCAGCCAATGTGTACATGGGACCTCGGTTTTTCGTACCATCCAAACAACTAGAGAGCTGTCCTTGTCAGGCCCTCTGTCCTGCACCACTGACAAGGGGAAACCACACAAGAAAATCCTAAAAAGTAGGACCCAAAAGAATTGAGTAAATCTGTGCAAGAATCAATGACTAATACCCAATGTACTCAGACTCAAAAATAATAATTTACTAGAAGACACAACTTAGTTTTCAAGCAGACATGTTCATCAAATAATAAAGACATGAACTGCACATTACATTAATTACAAAAGTAAGCTACGGCCATAGATCACTGAATTATAGCTCGTTCATCCATTCCATATCATTAAAACACATAATTCGGAAAATAATTATAAATCCATGTACCCTGCATTTAATTTCAATAATTATTCATAAAATAAAACTTCGAAAAAGATAAATTATTCTGACAGTTAGAATTCTGTGAGCTTCAAGCAAGGTATCATATGCCCTGCTGTGTTGAAATCCAAATAAAACGCAATTGTCTATTCAACACAATATAATATAAACTAACTTTTTTCGATGGTGTGGTGTGAGGTATCTTTGCCTGATCGAACTTCAACTTCTGGTATATAATAAACAGGAAATAAAAAACGTAGACCAATTGTTCTCTAAAAGAAAAAAAAAAAATTTAATCTCGATTGCATCTCAACACTTGATGATTGACAAGACACAATACACATTGATATTTATGAAATCTAATAAGAAGTTTAAAATAAAAAAGCTACTGATTGGCTAAAAAGCACCAATGTCTACAATTTTTAGAGTAAATACAAAAACATTTCAAGCCTCAATATCTGTACAAATGCTTTGGAGAAATTCAGATATTAAGTAACAGAGTTCAACTGAATAAATTCATGTGGGTTCTTCTATTTCCACTTGCTATATACATTAGATACTACAGGTACTCTTTATTTAACTCATAATTCAATACACCTATAGTTCCTTTAATATACCTCAGGTAAATATGTTCTTGATGATATCTCCGATACATCTAATCTGAGAGTATTTGTGGCTATCACAGTATCTGGTCGACACAAATGGGATATTCCTGTAATTAGAATATATTGCCACTAAATAATCATTATATTTAAAAACTAAACTGATATTTATTTTAATCAGTTCTTGGAAACTTTTAATACATTTCCATATTTAGAAAATACAAGTGGGCGACAAATTCTGTAGAACATCGAAATGTCCAGATGAAAAATTCATATTCCACAACCCTCGGTCTCATTTGACAAATGTGTTGACGAAACATTAAACCATTTTCCATTCCCATTTCACAAAGACTTGCATAACAAAATGAAATGAAATTGGGTTTAACATCCTATGGTTCTGCTCCGACTGGGCTAATGAAGATAGGCATATGCCATACAGTGTGCTATGAGGAAACTATTGCCCGGCCCATGCGTTACAGTCTACTCGTATATTGAATACCAACTGCCGAAGGATCTTTAACATGCACGCCAATGTGTACATGGGACCTTGTTTTTTTGTCCCATCCGAATAACTATATGTTGTCCCTTGCCAGGTTCTATGTCCTGCACCACTAACAAGGTAGAACCAAGCCAAAAGATCATGATGAATTTTCTCGGCCAACTAAGGGATTGAGCATGGGAGCTCTAGATTAGCTAGTCACAGCATCCAGTTTGAAAGGAAAGGAAATGGGGTTTAACGTCCTACTGTTCTGCTCCGAACTGGGCTAATGAAGACAGGCATACGCCATACCGTGTGCTACGAGAGAAATTTTGCCCAGACAGCGGCACTACGGCCTACTCTTATATCATATTCCAACTGTCAAGGGATCTTTTACGTGCACGCCAATGTGTACACAGGCCCTCGGTTTTTCGTCCCATCCTTAATGACTAGACAGGTGTCCTTGTCAGGCCCTCCGTCCTGCATCACTGACAAGGGAGGAATCACACCGGAAAATCAGGATGAACTTTCTCGGCTAATGCAGGGGTCGAACACCCGACCTCCAGGATAGCAAGCCAGTGTCTTACCCACTTAGCCCCGGTTTGAAAGAAAAGATTAAACAACAATAGTCACATTTAAATGGATGAATTGAGATTACCATCATCAAAGAAACCAACACAGCTTTCCAATGTGAATAGTAATGTTTGACTTATTAAACTAAACAGCAATAGACACACAGGGTGTTCAGGCCTGTTACATTTATAACTTACTAGCGTCTAGTCTTAAAGTTGATGTATTGCTATTTCGCTTTATTTGAAATCACTGATATCACAGCCTCATCATTGATGGTAGTGTGCTTTTCCCGATCATACAACCATACAATTCTATTTACGAACAGATTCGACCCCTACTGTCATTAGAAAATATGCATTTGAAGACAAATTTTTGTTAGCATTAAGGTATGATTCAACACTTCCATTTGATATAACCACAAATAATGTATTTTCAATAAGACAGATTCAACCGACTCTTGTTAATACTTACGTTGAAATAAATCTTTTTTGATTTCCAGATCATCAATAATACATTCAAAAACAAAGTCCACATCTTTTACAGTTTCTTCTAATCTACTCATACATAATACTTGACCCTGTCAAAAAATAAATATATATAAAATAAAGTTCACTGGTTTCAAATCATATTAATTTTTTATCTAAATAATTCCAAGTTATAGCATATATAATATTGTAGTCTTATGTGTAGCAACAAGAAAGCCCAACAATCAGAGCTATCACAACAATGAGGCATAGCTATGGAAGTTCAATTTCAATGCGACATTGTAGCCTCTATTATGCTAACAAGAAACATGTACGACAGATGGACAGACGGGTGACGGCAGCATACAACCACACAATCTGATTAAAATACAGATCTTTATTTTGTTTCATTTTTTTATACTTTCGATGACCTACACTACATGAAGACCTGATTGATTGTAATGGAAGGTCGCGTCAGGGGTAGTACAAGCGGTTTTAATCAATCCGCATTGATGTTTCTAGTGGTTTACCCACAGTTCCGTGCATCAAACGCCAAGTACTCGCCGTAACAGACCCTTTCATTGGCTAATCCCTCACTTCAATCAGAATGCCGGTTATATAACAACTCTTCCAGATTCTAGTGTAGTAAAGACAAGTAAAACGAAATTTTGAACTATAAAACGAAACAAAATAGGATCTGTGTTTTAAACAGATTGACAACCACATTAAAACGTAAGCATATAAAAAATGACTGAAAGATACTGAAACAAACAAAGATAGATTACATAGCGACAAATCCAGCAAAGTTTGTGCATAGGGAAAATAAAAATAAATAATTTGAATATTTTACGTACAATAAAATTATCATGGGTCAATATTCCATCATCTTTTAACATCTTTTTATCTTCTTGTAATTTCTCGTAAACTTTGTTTAAATTCTCTACCTTACTGTCTGTTACTTTCACTTTATGTCCATGATATGCAAGTTCACCTGTAAATAGAAAGCAGAAAATAGGCAATAAAAAATAGGTTATTGGCTTGCTTGTTGACAAAGAGGGGCAGAACGGGGTGATGACAATATACAACTACTAAGTGGAATTTATCAAAGATATACATGTAAGATAAAACTGTTCTGTAGCAAACGAGCCAATGAAATAAAATGAAACAGCATTTAACGTCCTACTGGGCTAATAAAAATGGGCACACGCCAGTCAGTGGGCTATGAGGGAAATTTTGTCCGGACAACAGCACTATGCCCTACTCTTATATCTAATTCCAACGGCCAACTGCCAAGGAATGTTTAACGTGTATGCCAATGTGTACAGAGGATCTCTGTTATTTGTCCCATCCAAATGACTATACACAGTTCCTTGCCACGGCCCCGGTTCTGCACCACTGACAAGGAGGAACCACGCTGGAAAATCCTGATGAACTTTCTTGGCCAACGCAGGACTTCCAGGTTAGTGAGCCAATGTGGTATCCACTGAGCAACCATGGCTCCACCCGGGCTAATGAAGAGGGGTATACATGTATGCCATGCAGAGTGTGAGGAAGGAAATTTTGCCTGTAATTTTCATCTTGACTGTTAAGGGTTCTTTTACGTATGGACATCAATGTATAATACAGGACCTCATTTTTTGTTCCATCCTAACAACTAGACACTGTCAAATTCTGATTAATAATAATGGTTCTTTTACATGCATGCAATCATTTGCATTGAACTTCCTTTTTTCATCCCATGCAAGCGATTAAGACACTATTCCTACCTAGAACCTCTGTCCAGCACCACTGACAATGTGAAACCATGGTAAAAAATCGAAGATACATGTATGTAGATCTGGTTCAAATGATTTATTTCCAATCTATCATACCTGCTATTTTTGTTCCTAGTAATCCACAGCCAACAACTGCTACCTTCACCATTTTGTTGATATAGATGGCTTTAAAACAACTATTCTTGTTGGTTTATAATAACATCATTTGATAACAAACTTAACAATTACGACTTTATCTCTCAATCTCCATATTCCAAACCTTGATTCTTATTAAATCCAACCATTGCTTGGTTGACTCAAGTTTCAATAAATAGATATCTATAAATAATAATAAACATGTATATCAAAGCCTAAATATTACATAATGTCTTTATCTGGGATTATCACTATTATTAGAACAGGTTGTTAGATTATCAGATTTTTGATTAACTGTATATCAAAAAAAATGAATAAGAAAACATTTGACTATCAGATTGGCTAAAGAACAATTAGAACAAGAAGCTAATAGATTTACAGTCTATCAAAATATATATATTGCTATGATGGAAGCTTGGAAAACAGACTGTCAGAATGTAGCCTACAGGCGTTAACTACACCTTACACTTACATGTACAGGAGATCAAGGCATTGGAATAATGGACTGTTATATTAAGGGACAATTGGAATGATGGGTTGACAGATTTCTGTACTGTTAACTATATCTAACAAACACGGGGAATAAAGGAAGGTTATAGACTGTCATATTAAGTCTCTGCGAGTACGAGCATGGAAAGTTGAAGAATGTCGAAAGTGCAATAGAGCTATAACTTTGCCTGGCTACCGAGGACTAACAGTAGGTCTTTTGGACCTACATCATGTAGTAGGCTACATGTAGTTATGTAGGCTTACTCTAATTTTAGTTAGATACATCATGTACTACATGCTAGTTCGTATATCGTCGGATCCAAGACTTGCCCAAGACAGTTCCTTACTTCCTAAAGGTACTAGGTACATGTCACCTATTTAATAATAAATATCATTCCCCAACATAACACGCTTGTTGATATTTCGTTTCATTTCAAAATTTCGACAAAATATAGCCAAATAACAAATATTTTTTAAAGTAAACCGAGAAAGATACGCAGCTCTAAGACAAAATGAACGAGATTGTTATTATTATTGTTATTTTGCGTCTTGTGTTTTGAATTTCGGATTTCACTCCAAATAGTCATGACACATACAAGTTTTCCTGTAGTGATGTTGTAAATACTTACCAAATATGAGATTATAAACATCTTTTCTTTTTTCAAACACAAAAGTCCAAATTATTTAGACGAAAGTGTCACATATTCTATGTTGTTATTAGCTTCGCTGTCAATATTTCAACGCTTTGTAAATACATGTTGTACTTGATTCACCGATTCTGTCGAGTTATATTGGACATTTAGGTATCGCTTTTTAAACTAAACCGGCCATTGAGTGTATGTCAACTCGGCCAATATAATTTTCTTTTGGTAGTTTTTTTCTTCTTCATCAGGTTTTATTACACTAACTTATTTTTTCAGAATTAGCATAGTTTTGGCGTAGAAACCTGTCAATTGCTTGTAGGCTACTATCTTTAAAGGGTATATATTGAAAGTGATAATAATAACAAACTGCTTTATGGATAACAATCACTAGGTTTATTAACTGCAATGTTTCATTGTAGATACTCTCGCCGTTATCAAGCAATGACACAATCAACATGTTACAGAAGGTTATATACAAACGGGTAAAAATAAACTAATTAACAAATAATTTGTTTGATAAATAAGTCATCAACATCCAGTAAAATGGATGTTTTAAAACAGATTCATATCGAATCGGAGTGTCATAAACAGTGATTGAAAGTTGAGTAAATTCTTAACTTAAACATACATTATTATGCAAGAGCTAAATCTGCCTATTGCACTTGCAGGTCTTTCTTTAGGCCTGACATGTTATTTAAATTATTAATTAACTTATCCAGATCATAATCAACCCTCGATGTCATCGCTAACCTGCGATATTTACTGGATTAGGATCCGATTTGTTGTCCAACTTTCATTTATGATTAAACCATGAAGTAGATAATCGAGACAATGTATTTTTATCGTACCGACTGTAGTAATGATGATTCGAGGCTAGGCCGAAAATTCAATCGCTAAATTCTCGGTTCAGAGTGGATCAATTTGACTGAAATTTTAAGCCTATCTGTGAAAGACCTGTACAAAGTCTATGGTTTCCAATTAGTTTTCTACATAGTCCCCTTCGAGGTGTACACATTTTTGGCATTTTTACCAACGATGTTGCAAGGCCTGGATGCCAGTCAGGAAGAAATTTTCTTCCGCCACCCTAAAAAAGGCCGTTCACAGGTAACATGACGTCATCATTACTATTAAATTAATGCCGGCTTGTTCCTTCATCAGTTTTGGAAACGTGTCTCATCTATGGTTACTAATCTTGCCAAATAATTATTAGGATCTGCTTCGATTGTCTTGGGACGTCACGAATCTGAGATATTTCTGATCCGCCGTCAGTCACGAGCTATGCACCCATCTTGCAGAAACTATGTCATTCCTTACTCGTTGGCGATAATGTGCTCAACCCTCTCATGAGAGATAACCACAACACTGATCAATCGTTGACCAGTCATCACCATGCCATGCACCGGGGTAATATATTTTTCTAGAATGTTTGCTGTTAATAGCTTCCTAGAGGCAGGCCATCGTCAAGGCTCTCTATCACGCTTAAATTCCACAGCCCACGTCTTTACTGTGGAAAAGGAAGGGGCATAATTCGTTAAAGCGGAGACTGTGTCTACATCCTTGGCAAAAGTCTGTACACCTTGAAGGGGACTAGGCTATGTAGACAAATACATGGAAACCATCGATTTTGAATAGGCTTAGAACTTTTCAACCAGCCCTCTTAATTTTAGTGAACGGAACGCGGTATATAAGTCACAGTTTTGATGACTTTTAATTCATAACTTCCTGGGATTCATCGGAAAATCGAATGAGCACTCTATCCAAAATCAGATTCGCCTGTCAATTTTATGCGGGGTAAGGATCCTTGTTCTGAGATTTTATTCTTGAGCAAATTTGCCAGAATTATTCTACTACTGGTGTCTGGTAACAGCTCAACAGGACAAAGACCGAACAGATAATGGATATATAATTTATTTTAAGCGTAGCGATCAAAGACGATTGGCGTCTTTTTGCTTCTTTACGTTTCTTTGGCTTAATTCTGCGCATTGAATATCCATTGCTGTTATTAGCTTCTTTAATGTGTTGTTGTTGTTCAACTTTTATTTATTAACCTGTTTTCCCAAAAGACCAAACGATAAAAACAAAAATACATTCATTGTTTTACAAAGTAATTAAGCGTTAACAATTCGATGAAGTCACTAAAATCCATACCATAAAAGTGCTCACTCATTTAAGAAATGAAATGGGGTTTAACGTAGTACTGTTCTGCTCCTACGGAGCATGAAAACGACAAGAGAATCATTGTAGAAAAATAGCATTGATTAAAAACAGTAATTGTTTATCTATAGAACTTTTGTGTTTATTTTTATCGTTCTCAGCTTAAAAAAACATTTGTTATTTAGCCACATTTTGTTGAAATTTTGAAATGAAACGAAATATCAACAAAGGTGTTATTTTTTTTGGGGGGGGGGGGGTAACGTCCACTCGACGCAAACTAGGTGATTTCGGGCCTAACATATGCCATGGTTTAATTTTATTTCAATAATTCGCTTGCGCGTAGGGGTCTTTAGCAGTGGGAAAAACCGGAGGACCCGGAGAAATCCCACAAGGCTGGACAGGCGACCCTAGTCCTTGTCACGTACAACCGGGGATTCGAAACCATGAACCATTGGCTACATTAGAGTACCCTTATTAGTCGGCTTAATCCTCACTGTCAGTAGCCAGGCTGAGTAGGCCTATCACTATTGCACTTTCGATATTCTAAATTCTGTGATAGTACTCGCATATACTTAATACGACAATCTAACCAGACTTATTCCCTGTGTTTGTTAGATAGTTCTACACCACTGACAAGGGGGGGGGGGGGGAAACGCGCCAGAAAATCCAGATGAACTTTCTCGGCCAACGCAGAGATCGAACATAGGACCTCAAGGTTAGCGAGCCAACGTCCTTACCACTGTGTTACCATGGCTTCCACTCATTTAGGAGCATATTTATTTCTTTAGTCATTCCTGGATAGACTGCTTAAAGCGTTGTATTCTTTGGAACCTTAAAGATACATTATGGCAGATTAGATAAAGAGCTGACAGTTATCATTATAATAGTTAAAAACTAGATAATGTAAAGGGAATTTGATCCACTCTGAACCAAAATTTAAGCGATTGAATTTTCGGCCTAGCCTCGATCTTCATTACTACAGTCGGTAAGATGAAAAACAGTCTCTATTATCCATGTCATGATTAAATCATGAATGAAAGTTGAGCAGCAAATCTGATCGTATTCCAGTAAATATCGTAGGCTAGCATTGACATCGAGAGTTGATTATGGTCTGGATAAGTTAATTAATGTCTAATTAATAATTTAGATAACATTTCAGGCCTAAAGAAAGACCTGCAATAGACAGATTTAGCTCTTGCATAATGTATGTTTAAAATAGATGAAAATGAGCCCCAAAACACAAATTAATGTAATATGAATGTATGTAAAGGGATTTATATTCAATTTTAAAAAATAATTATTATAATTTCTAATCAATTATTTTCGGTGAAATACGTGAACAGTCCAAATTGTACGGCAGTCGTTTACGTTTGCTTAGTCCAATCTACAGGTCTTTTAACTATTACTTATTACTTCTGCTTTGTCTTGTAGGATATGTTTTTATTTGTTCATTACAAATGGCACCGAAACCACAGAAATACTGGACTAGTGTACTTATTTTAAAATGTTCATTATTGAACCATCGATATTAATTTGAAGATAAATCTCTAAAATTGTTTTAGGAATTATTCTTTCAAAAAAAATAATAAATAAAAGAATGATTTCAAAGTAGGTTTGAAGCAAACATATCCCAATTAATGTAAATAACCATACATATTTGTTACTTGTATTGGTACGCATGTGTGAACAACCGAATTAATGATTTTGAACAGTTTGTTTTACTTATTTTAACTTACACATATTGTGAATAAAACTGTATATTTATACGTATATTTTACATATGGGTAGTTGGTAAAATTAAATTAGTCTAAATAGTAATCTTATTATAACGGATTCAACAAAACGAACTAAAGATATCATAAATGAGGATGTCTGAGCAGTGGATTCACATAAAAATTACTCTTTCTACTTGTTTTTTGATATTGGCGAATGTCGAAACACGTGTAGCTTGTTTTTCGATATTCAGGCTTGAATCTCAAAAAAGCACATTTGATGGATGTATATCTACAGAATGTCTCCAAAACACATTTGATTAAATACGTTTTCTAAAACGAACTAAAGATATCATAAATGAGGATGCCTGAGCAGTGGATTCACATAAAACTTATATTACTCCTTGTTTTTTGATATTGGCGAATCTCGAAAAACGAGCTACTCGTATTTCGATATTCAAACTTGAATCTCAAAAAAGTAAATTTAATGGATGCTTTTTTTCCCTGAGAACGTAGATTTCTACTGGTACCATAGGGGCAGTGTGAAGTAAGCTCGATTTTCCTTTTTCGCCAATATCGAAAAACGAAAAACGAAAATCGAGCTTACTTCACACTGCCCCTATGGTACCAGTAGAAATCTACGTTCTCAGGGAAAAAAAATATCTTCTGAAGTCTCTAACTATTTTTTAGAGTGAGAGAGAGAGAGAGAGAGGTGGGGGCAGAGAGAGGGGGGTTTACGTCCACTCGACACAAACATGATTCATTTTTTTTTTCAATAATTCGCTTGCACGTAGGGTCTTTAACTTTGGGGGTGGAGGGCAGAGGACCCAAAGAAAAGCCATGGGGTTAGACAGGCGACTCTATTCCTTGTCATAATCATGCGGGGAATCGAAACCATGCCACTTGACTCAATGACAGAACTTATGATCTTAAGTGACCGTGTTAATAATCCCCCCCCCCCCCGTACCCAAGGAAAAATAAACGCGAATAAAACTTGGTATTTCTTACATGGTGAATCAAATAAACAGAGAACGTTAGCTGACCTAACGCTACACATTTCTATTTTATCACAAAAAAAACTATTGGAAGGCGCCGGATGTATCGAATGGCTTGATCTTTTATTTTGATCTGTATTCTATATGCTTAATTTAATCCGAAGTATCAATTACATCTGCTTTCGTTTTGTGGTCTCTGAATTATTAAAATTCAAATATATATATTGATGCATAACAGACCATAATGTAACGG